CACTCATGTGACCATCACTCAAGTCAATATATAGCTATTACTAGGCCAGTACTCAGGAGGCTAAAGCAGATGGATCACAAGTTCAAGGCCAGCCTGGGCTACATAGCAAAAGTACTTAAAAACAAAAACGAAACTCGAGAGCAACAAAACAAAGAATATAGTCCCCTACAAACCTGCTACCCTTTAACTCCATCCCATAAAGACTACCACTAAGCAATCTACCATATAGCTTAAGATTTGTGTTTTTCCCCCCTTACTGTGAACTAATGTCAAGTTCTTCTCATGCAGCAGTGTTTGAATCCATCCCTACTTGTGCTTCTGTTAAGAATTTTTCTTTTACTACTCCGGAATGGTCTATGTACAGCCCATCACTTCCCCCACTCCATTCCACTACTAATATTCCAATTTTTTTTTCCAGATTGAGGCCATTTTGGGTAATTGCATGTCTGACAATGAACAGCTGTATGCACCTCTATTGAGTGCATACCCTAGTGTGGGATAGTCATACGACAGGTTATATGTAAGAGTTTAGTCCCTACAAGTTAGGGAGGTATGATCATTACAGAAAACGTGGAGCAAACTGGGGCCTGGAAAAGCTGCTGCTTCTGAACTAGTGAGTTACACACTTCTGTGAGGGCAGAAGTCACATCTGACCTGTGGTCCCCCACTCATCAAGGTGCCTCGTACACAGCAGGAGCTCAACACAGTCCAGTGCAGCCCTGTGCTGCCTGACATCGTCAGGAGATGGATGGTATATAATAGAGAGATCCTGTAAAATAACAAAGGAGCTAGAAACTGTCACTCAGTGACCTCCACCATACAGCACCACCGGACAAAACCACTGGACATTCAATCACGTTGGTGAAAAGAAAGCCACACCGCCAGTCACCTGAAAGCACAGCACAATCACGTGAGCATGCATATCACTCAATGATGATAACAGTAACAGACAGCCTGTTGCTGCTTTCTGTGTTTGCTGGACTGTACTTTTCATCATTATTTTAATGCATTTAGTGCACTGCTGTTTATAAAAAGGCTCCCGTGACGTTAAACCATGCTGTGTTACCCTGGCGGCAGCCTCCTGCACTAATGTTTACCAAGTCTCTAGATTGAATCAAGATACCTTGTTGAGTGATTGGCCTGTACTGAATAAGCTTGTACACTAAGCTATGATGTGCATAGCAACAAAATGGCCTGACGACGCAGTTCTTGGAACACACAGTCCTGTGCTTAAGTGGCATATAACAGTATTAAGAGTAGAGGAAAGGTAAAACCCTGCCCCTACTCTTCCCAACTCTCTTAACTAAAGTGAGGTGACAATCTTATATTACCATTTTTTTTTTTTAATTTATAAAATGTAGCTCAAATGAGTTAGAGTCCCACCTTTAATCTACAGCGAATACGTCATGAGAGAGACTGCTGCTGGCTTAACAGCATATAAACATCATTCTGAACCAACTAAATCTCAAAACAGATCCCGAAGTTGTGAGGATTGCCCAGGACTAAGCTGCTGTGTCACCTTGATGGTTAACACCACCAGCCTTAATTTGGTACTCCCCAAAAAAGCTCTCTAGTAACCTCCTACTGTGTTCAACATACTTCAGGAAGAGGCCTGCAAGGACTTCCCATAGAGGCTGTCTGAATGACACTCCCTCCTGAGTGCATTTCTGGTGGTAGTATTTACTCTTTGCAGAAATACTATCATCTATCAAGAAAACTCCTGAGGTCATGACAGACCAGTTTCCTCAAAGCTTAACAGAACTGGAAGAGTCTGCAGAATGTTTCTTCCAACAGGACCTCATCAGGTAACTTTCACAAAGGTCGAAGTATACAAGTATCTGTCTGGTTTTTAATTCCTGTTCTGGGGACATGATAACTCACCAACACAAGGAATGCTCATATCCTAACTTAAAAAAAAAATTCATCTATTTTATGTTACCATAACAAAATAGGCTAGGTACTTTGTATTTTTTAGGGGGCTGGTTCTCTGAGACAGTGTTTCTCTGTGTAGCTATAGCTGTCCTGCAGACGAGTCAGACAGCCTGCTTCTTCCAGGTATTGGGATTCAAGGTGTGTACCACCACACCCACCTTACATATTTTTGCTTCTTTTTGGAGGTGGGGGTGGGGGTGGAGGTTCCAAGACAGCATTTCTCTGCGTAGCCTTGGCTGTCCTTCAACTCAGAGATCTACCTGCCTCTGCCTCACAAGTGCTGGGCCTAAAGACGTGTGCCACGCCACCCAGCTCTAAACTGCCCCTCTCATGAAGAAACTGTTTATAATCCTGTGATCACCTTTCTAGGTTTCAGGTTTTAGTACTCCCATGTTCAATCTACACTCATTAGTTCTTGGGCTGGGTGTGGAACTGTGTCACACTCTGTACTTAGCCAATGTGAAGCCCCTGTGCAGTCTTGAGCACACCATCCTCAAAATATATTCTTAATCTTCTTTGGCCCTAACCTACTGTTTGGGTAACAGGCAATTATTATACCTTCTAAACTTAAGGGCATCGTTCTACAGGTTCTCAAATTAAAAACAATTCTACGAAATGGTAGAGACGTTTCTCTATTTTAAAATTTTGCATTGTCTAAGAGTTATACCGAGAACTAGGTAAACCTAAATGTCATTCTTATTCAAGGAAATCATAAGTCGTTTTCCAGAATGTTTGTCCCCCAAAAACTAGCTCATCACTGCTGTTCAGAAGGAAAAGAAATACCACAGTCCTATTTTCAACACTAGTCTCCTAACAAAGGCTTGCTTAGTTTAAACAGCCACCCTTTAGCCATACCTGCCTCTCTCTTTTGGTAGACGAGTTGTGCTGTTTGGCAGTACTTGTATACCCCACTATATAATACAAGCCATTGATACCAACACAGTTTATCTTTATTGCTCTGACATTATCTAATCTCTTATTCTCTCATGTAAAAGCAACTATAGGAAGCATAATAACATAGAGGCGTGTGACTAGGAATCAAGCTGTGGTCTATTTATTTATTAAGACAGGGTCTCACTGTAGCTCGGGATGGCCTGGGAACTTGTTCCCCTCTCCCTCTTGAAAAACAGCACATAGAGTCCCCTACACATACACATATACACTCCTCTTTCAAAACAACATTTTAAAAAGATTCTTTCTCTTCAGGTGCACATTTAAAGAAAGAGGAAGACAAATGAGATATGAGGAGAACTTTCTGAGTAACTGACCAAAATGTAAACAGTGAAGGAAAGTATAGAGTCACTTTTTTTTGTTTGTAAACCAGAATGGCCTTGAACTCACAAAGATCTGCCTGCCTCTACTGGGATTAAAGGTGTGTGGTGGAGTTACTTTAATCTGTTCTGTAAAATTCTCTAGATCCACTCCCACTGTTCATAAAGGGATAGTCAAAGTAACAACTAAAAGCCCAGGGTGGTAAGCACTCTGGGAGGCTGAGGCAGATGGATAGGTGACTTCAAAGACAGCCTTGTCTACAAAGAGAATGCAGGACATCCAAGGCTACACAGGGAGACAAAACAAACAAACAAACAAACAAAAACCCTAAAAGGATAGACCACTGCTCTTCAGGATGACATAATCACATTTAAATTTCTCTTTTGGATTATATACATAGTCTTCTGAACACTTTTTTTTTTTTTTAAACTAAGGCTTGAACCTAGGGCTCCCACCAATCTAGGCCAAGTGTTCTATCAGAGCACATTTCCTAAAACATATTTATAGAGTACATAATTTCCCCCGTCCCTTCCACCCTCCAAATCATCCCACAAACCCTTCCTTCTTCGCGAATTGTTGCTACATAGGTGTGTATTTCTAACTACATAAATTCAACCTCAGTTTGTAAATTTTTAAAATGAGAACTCTATTACAGGTCACCCCATAATTACTCAAGATAGACTTACTCAAGATAAAATTTGTGTGTGTTGATTCACCCCAGATGCTTTTTAATAAACAAGGAGTCTCCAGAATGCGAAGCTCAAACTCAAAGATTTGGAGCTTTGCAAAAAGCTACTCCTACCTTTGGTTTGGCAAGGAAACAGCAACCAGCCAGGCATTGCCGCTAAGCCCAGCTCTGTTCTAGTAGTTGTTGCACTGTACAGCCTTATAAAGCTCTGTGATAGCTTCGGGAGATGGGCAAAACCCTAGTCTGTATTATTTCCTTCAACAGATTTATACCAACTGCCAGTTAAATCAAGCGGTAAGAAACAGATTATGGAAGCAAAGGTGGGCTGGGTTTTGTTTACCTCAAAGTCATCTCCCAGTTTTCCCAAGTCAATGTGTATCTTGACATCAAACACTACTACTCTCTTCCCCTTTAAGGCTCTTACTGTTTTCATTTACCAACCTTCACTATGTTAATGTATATGAAATCTACTATACTGCAACTCACTTTAAATAAGAACTAGTCCTGTTTCCCTGGGTCTGAACAGTAGATTCCCCAAGTTCCCATAGCTAGAACAACTTTCAAACTTTCCCCAAACATGTAACTGCTTTCAGGCTGACAATCTGCTCAATAGCTCTGCCCTTGCAAACAAAGCTCCGCAAGCCAGAGGCCACGGGCAAAAACAAACAAAACAATCACCCCCCACCCCAAAACCTTCAAGCGTTGCAGGACCTTCACCAACCACCACCCTACAGAAGCTCATCTCAAAAACAGTTCTAGGGTCAAGGAGATCTGAACAATTCCTTCCCAACCGGGCTAGCGTGAGCAAACTCCAGCCTAACAAATCCGCGGGAAAGATGCACATTCTTGGAGTTAACCAGTAAAGAGCATTAGGGAGGAAGGAATGCGACAGGCTAGGTTAATGTCTAGGCTGGCAAGGTGTACCCCACCCCCACTTGGTCAAAGCCCTGCGCGGGTACTGGTTCTGATTCGCGAGATCCAGCCTCCGAGTCCGGACCCACCCTCCTAGTTCTGCGGTCTCCATAGCACGCCAAAGCTGGGAAGCGGCTGGCGCGGAGCTGTGCAAATACTTGCCACTCCACCCCCACCCCTCATCCTGTTGCTTTACCGGTGCTGCAGCCCCACGAGTCCCAGAGTGATCACATGCGGCACGTCTAGCTGCGTGGGCCACTCTCCAGAAGCGATGCACCCGAACACGCCGCATTCCTCACGGATCCCCAATTCCTCCAGTTCCATGGCGCCGCCGAGAGCACGTGGAGGGACCTGCGGCCGCGGCGTAGCCTAAGCACCAACCAGCTGTCCGCTCAGCCGTAGCACGCCCGAGAACCTCACGCTACAGACTGCCTCCTCCTTCCCCTCGAGCTAGACCCTCTCTACTGCGACGGCGCACATCGCCCACAGGAGGCGTGGCCATCTCGGCCTCCAGCGCGCCGCCAATCAGCCAGGGCACAGGACGGGGGCGGAGCTACGGAGTCGAGGGGGTGGGGCCAGCCCGCGGGAGAGGTCAGACGCGCCGGCTGTCCGGCACGTGGAGGTCTCCGTTATTTTCCCGCTCTCGAGGCGTAAGTGGTGAGAGTGGCGCAGCAATCGTGTTTATTCCTCGGGAGGTTTGAGTCGTGCGTGCTCCTGTTCGCACGCCTTCCCCCGGCCGCCGGGACTTGGTACGCTCCAGCTCAGAAACCTCCCCTGGGCGAGCAGGGGCCGCCGCCTGCGCGCCAATTTTCGCTGCTGGGAGCTGGGGGCGGGGCCGCCCGGAAGAGGGGGCGCGCCAGCGCGCCTGCGCGGCGGGAAGCCTAGCGGCCGCGGTGCCGGAACCCCGCGCAGCCGGCCCAGAGCTCTCCTGGCTAACAGGGCGTGCCTGTGGCTTGCACCTCCCTTCCCCGCCCCCTAGATTTCTGTGGTCTCCCTTGTTTTCCAGAGCGCTTCCTCTCTTTTCCCGCGCGGTCTGCACCTCTAGTCCTCTTAGGAGAATGGCCACAGCTGAGGGTGAGTAACCGGCTTTCGGACTGACTAGGGTCCTCCAGCAGAGAGCTAGCGTGCCTGGCGCGGACACGTGCGGCCCCGGGGTCGGGGTGCCTCCCTCCTGGCGCGGGGCCGGGCCAGCTTCCCCACGGCTGCGTCTCAGGCCCGGAGCCTGCACACGTGGTCCAGAGCTCCAGGAGACAGACGTGTGTTGGGCACTGAGCACTCCAGGCCTTCCTCCCAGCAAATACCCAGAAATGGCCCCGGGATGGGAAGAAAGTAGCAAAGTGGGAAGGGAAGTCCGGAGGAGAAAAGGCCACAAACTAACCAAGTGCCTAGAAACTTTGTAATGAGAAGATCAACAGTCAGGAAAAGCTAGCAGAATTTGTTTATTCTGTTACGCTTAATATATCAATACTCTCCTTTGCCGGAAGGTTAATTAATAGTTTAGTGCTGTGAAAAATAGGTTCAGACTTTTTGTTTAGGTCAATGCTGCTTTTTAATCCCAGGAATTTGGGATTATGGGTGTGGGTTAGTAAGGATCCGTGATAGCAAGTGGGCTTGAGTGCCAAAACGGAAGGCAAACGGTTCTTTAACCACTTTTTAGATTTACAGGTACCGTTTTGTCCGGGCGTGGTAAGACCCTCGGGAAAAATGGATCGTACCCTTTATGTTAATAAAATTGTCTTGAACCACAAATTAAAGTTAGTTGTGTTGACACCCCCCACATTCTTTCCCACCTATGAAAAGCAAAAGAAAACACCCTGAAATTTAGATGATACAGCTCCATAAAATTGGGGCTTTGGGACAGAATTTTTCTGAGATCAGGGTCCATGTACTTCTAAACTGGTAAAAATCTCTAGAATCTTCCCTCATCGTTCCTTTTTTTTTTTTTTTTTTTTTTTTTATTAATGTGTGTTTGTGAGAGTGTATGCTCCATTTGGATTTGGAAAGCTAGACGAGGATGTCTGTTTACCTGGAACTGAAGTTAGAGGCCTCTTTAAGATGTGGCTTTTATGCTTCCTAAAGTTTTGTACTAAAAAAAAAAAAAGTTGCTGTGTGTTTCCTTACTTTACATCACAGTGCTAGAAGGTTTTTTTTTTTTTTTTTTTTAAGACTTAGCTTTCAGTTCCATGAAACAGCCTAAGACCTCATCAGTCTGATGTTTGAAATCAAACCTATTAATTTCTGGGTTTGAATTTGGTATGTGTGCATTTGGAAACATGGTCTCTGTGTGGCCTTGGCTGGCCTGGAACTCCCAGCACTTGCTGACATTAAAGGCACATAAAATCACGCCTATTAATTTTTAACATTTTTATACTTGAAGTATATGCTTCTTATACATTTTTTTTTTAATTTTTGAGATTATAATTGCAACATCCACTCTTCCATAGCCTTCCCCACTCACCTTTAAAATTCATGGCCTCTTTATTAGCTGTTATCACATGCATATACATATATCTATATACACTCCTTTGTACCTCTGTTTTCAGGGCTGACCATTTGGCACAGGGCAACCAATTGGTGTTGGGGAAGACCACCTCTCCTAGTTGTAGCTTTTCTGAGTTGCCTATGGCTAGCTCTTTTTCTTTACCCACTTTGGCATGTCCATTGGTGCCTTCCTTGTTCAGCTCACATTTGAACAATAATGCTTGTGAGGCATTGTGGCTGTAGCTTTTGGTGTTATTGGGAGACAAAATCTCCCAGCAAACTCCCTGTTCCTCTGGCATATGCAATCTTTCCAGCCTCTCTTCCACTAATGTTCTCTGAGCCTTAGATAATAGCAGTGTTTCATTGATGAATTGGGGCTGGGCTCCATACCTCCTCTATTTTTTTAATACCCATTTAAAAATCACATAGGCTAGGTGATGAATATATATAGGAGTACATTCTAGAACAGTAGGTAGAAACTTAGCTTTGAACAGTGTTGAGTTTTTACAAGATGCCCTTTTTACTATTTTAAACCATGAGAAAGCTTGATAACAAATGGATGCTAACAAAAGTTAGGTTTTCTCATAAGAAGAAAATTATCTCTGGGTAATTTGGGGGAAAGAGTCCATATAGTGTGTAGGTAATAGGCTGTGAAACTAATATTCCAGAAATACAGTCTGTTCCATTCCAAAGGTCAGTTCACATGGCTGTGACCAACTCTCCCTGTACTCCATCTCAAGTAAAATGTGATCTAACAAAGAATTGCCTCCAGCATCCTCTTTACACTGAACCAGTGAGAAGCCATTGATTTTCTTCTTGGACACTTAACCTGGGTTTCCTGTGCCAGCTGGTGGTGTGACCCTATCAACTCTTCAGGTTTCTTCTGTTTGTTCCAGATAGGGTCTCCCTTATGGAACTGACTGACTTTCCTGACTAACTCTTCTGCTTTATTTGCTGCTGTTCTTTCCACTTACTAGGTTGCTCCTTAACCTACCCATCCACACATAGCTAGAGCACTAAGTGCTTAGCCATGCTGACCTGCTCTACACTTGGACTACTTGATTGTGCCTCTTTCAGTTATCCCTTGTTAAATTTTGATCATTTTTCAGGTCTCCATCCAGCTTTTACTTTGTTGTAGACTTCTGGTGTAAGGTGGCCCAGCTGTGAATGTGGGATCCCATAGTCTCTACTTTGGATTATTTTTATTATGGTTTCTTATTTATTACCTTCACAACTTAGGTCCCCATAAAGCAGAAACTAGATTTCATTTGCTGTCCCTGGCACACAGACACTGGAAAAGTACTGAGGATAAGTGTGTTCTGGAAACATGAGAAGCAGTTCCTGCACCTTTAAATGTTGGTTACTTTTGATTTCGTTTAAATCATCCTAATGTAAAGTCTGGTATTCCTTATGTGTTGTGACTAACATTAAACTTAGATGCTTTGGCCTGGTCTGGTGGTGCATCTTTAATCACAGTGGAGGTAGATGAATCTGAATCAGATGTTAGCATGTCTAGAAAGGACATACTAGGCTAGCCAGGGCTATGGAGTGGGACCCTGTCTCAGGAAAAAAAAAAAAAGAAAATGATTCTGTACTCATTTCCTGGTGCTTTCTTTACTACATCCTCAGTAAAGAGGGTACTGGTGGCAGAGGATTGAGAAATATTTCCAGGCTGTCTAATGGAAATGTAAATAGAGCTTACTGTTTCTCCATTCCTGGTGGGTGTGGGACTAACTAGCCTTAGAATTTAGCAACATAAAAATGTCTTGGTTTAGGATTTAGATTTATTTGTTTTTCCTTTGGTACTAGACTTTCAACCTAGACCTTTTATGTTAGGCAACCTTCACTGAGCTGTGAACCCAGTCACTACCTCCACTAAATAAAGAAACCTCTTACACATTAATTTAAAAATCAAGAAATTGTTCTGAATTTTTCCATTCAGTCTGCCATGAAATGTCACGGGAAATAAAGCATTTTTCTCCTTTCCACTTTTTCTTGATTCCTATTGAGTTTCACATGATGTACCCCAGTCCAGTTCATCTGCCTGCACACTTATATCTGCCCTTTTACCCTTCCCATCTCTCCCCAAAACAAAACACACACAATAAACAACAAAAAACAAAGCATAAATAATCATCATGGGATTGATAGTTTGCACAGGTGTGTCCCATAGTATATTCCTTTGTCCACACATCTTCACTTGCATATGTTCGTTGCAGTGAGTCATCAGCCTGGCCCAAGTTCTCTGGCTTTTGTGACACCATCAATACTGTATCCTCACTGGGTCTCCTCTGGGTCCTCCTGTTGCTGCCCTGTGTCATGGAGATCCTGCAGCCCAAGATCAGCAGGATTAGTCCTTTCACATGTCCCAACCATCCACGGATAATAGATTTTTGGGGTAGGCCAACTCCAACTTGGATCTGGGTCTGGGTGGGCATCGGAGGTGATCAGCATTCAAGCTCTCTGGCACCTCCTGGATAGGCCACCCAAAGCCACCATGTATAGGAGGCAGGGTCAGCTCTTCTGTTTTCATGCCCTTGTCTGGCTCCCCCACACCTCCAAAGTATGTTCCACTATTGCCCAGGCAGAAGTGCATGGGCTGTTCTAGTGACCCCAGAGGCAGTTCTGACTGCTGCTACAGGAGGTAGGAGTAGAGGTCCGTCACCCCTGCATCCACACCATGCCAGAGAAGTGGCCCTGCACTCTCCCCCTCAGGGCCAGTTGTCCTAACTACTGCCGGTGGTGAGGGAGAGGGGCCACACCACCTATCTCCTGCTCTCACCCTGAAAGCTAATTAACCTTTATCTCCTCCACCAGAGCTAGTTCTGCCAACTGCTGCAGATGGTGAGGGACAATGGGGGGAGGACATCAAGCTGATGCCCCCCCCCCACACACACACACCCTACCCCTGGCAGACTAAGCTCCCTCTGTCTTCAGGTCTGGCTTGCCCACTCTCGTGACCCTGGGGCCAGTTCTATCGCCACCCCACAGCAGGCAATGGCAGGGCCAGCTCACCAGAGCCTGCCTTTCCAAGTGATGCAGCTGATAAGGCCAGCTTACCTGCTGACCCTATGGCCAGCTCTCCCAACTGCCTGAGTGGGTAGAGGGCATCTCCACCCACCCAGGCCACCCTCACAGCACAGTGGCGAGGCCAAAGTCTTAATTTTCTAATCTCTGTAGTTGTTATAATTAAATGAACACAAAATTATGATACATGAAGAGAAAACTTTATAGAGTATAAGATTCTGTGCTAATGGTTTTTATATTGATATTAATCGCTGTCTATGCAGAGGTGGACGTTTTAGCTGATTATTTAATATTTGGGAAAGCTTGGAATCTGACAGTTGTGTTTTGTTTCCACAGTACTGAACATCGGGAGAAAGCTCTATGAGGGTAAAACAAAAGAAGTGTATGAGTTGTTAGATAACCCAGGAAGAGTCCTCCTGCAGTCCAAGGACCAGATTACAGCAGGAAATGCAGCTAGAAAGAATCACCTGGAAGGCAAAGCTGCAATCTCGAATAAGATCACCAGCTGTATTTTTCAGTTGTTACAGGAAGCCGGTGGGTGCTGCCCTTGTGTCTTTCATATTGTTTTCATGGGGAGAAATTATTTGGAGCAAAAACGTTATACTTACTGATGTGCTTTATTACATCAAAAGAGGTAACTGACTCATTCTGTGGGAGATGGGTTTGGTTTAACCTGTTTGGGAATGTCTCACAGGTTAAGTTGCTTATGATAAAATCAAGGCAAGAGCCTTTAAGGTTCACTATAACAGTTTACTGGTTTGGGAGTCTTGGTGTTTAACTGGGGAAAACTCAGTGATACAGTACTTCTTAGCATGTACAAAGCCTTATTTTTAAGCTCCACAATAGTACCCACTGTCTGTCTGTCTTACTTTGCTATTACCACGACAGGGCAGCCTATAAAGAAAAGTATTTAATTTGGGGCTTACAGAGTTCCAGGGAGTAGAGCCCATGGACATCCTGGCCAGAGCGTAGTAGCAAACAGGCAAAGCATAGCTGAGAGTTTATGCGGTAAATAGGAGACAGGGCTAACTGGCAACAACTTGGGCTTTTGAACATCAAGCTTTATCCAACAAGGCTGCACCTCCCAAAGAGTCCCAACAAGGGGAACCAAGCATTCCAAACCACCACCTCCCACAGAGAAAAGGATTTAGCAGAAAGAAACTTAGCAGTTGCCTACAGTCTTTATCAGTCACATGAGTTTTAACTTCCTATGCAAGGCCATCTCTAGCCTCAGAATTTAACTATGAGAAGCCTTCCTCGGTATCTGCAGCCCTAAATAATAACCTGAATTGACTCCCTGGAATGCTACACAGTTGTTCTCTGTTCTATTGGAGACAGTACAGAATTTTAAGTCCCTGTTCTCTATATAAACCCCGAGGCATATTTGAAGATAGCAGCTGTGCCTCCCAGTGCTGTTCTAGGTATAAATGACAGGCCTGAACTTAGAACAAGTCTACATTGTGAAAAACTGAAGGAAGTCTTTTCTTCCATTGGAGAAGGTAAATGATACGAAAACTGAAGAGTATATATGGTCTGTTGGAATGGAGGAGGGGAATTGGGGGTCTTTCTGTTTGTTGGTTCATGAGGTTTTGTTTTCCAAGTTTGTATGTCTGTGCTGAAGTGTATGTCAGTGCACCACATGCATGTGTGAGTCCTCTGGTGTCAGAAGACGGTATCCTCTCCCACGGGACTGGAGTGACAGGTGGTTGTAGATTGCCATGTGGATGCTGGGACCTATACCCAGGTCCTCTGTAAGAGTAATAAATGCTCTTAACTGCAGGTCCACCTCTCCAGCCCTGCAGTGTGCTATATTCAAACTATTAGGAAAGAGGTTGTTAGTTTCCAAGGTCACTACATAAAAATTTCCATTCTAACAGCTCATCAGCCTAGCTTTCTCAGTGACAAAGAGAATGGAAGAACATATTTTCCTTGCTATTGCCTAGAGTAACTGATACTTCCTGGTGGATGCTTTTTCCAAGGATTATTTAAGCATTAAAAGAAAAAGAATTTTCTAAATCTAGGGCTCTTCTGATTGGTAAGTAGATCAGTCTGTAAGGATTGATATAATACTGAACTGTAGAAATGAGAATTCTGTGCTCAGGTTAGCTTTAGAGGTAATTTAATGCCACCTGGATGATTCATGTGCCTTCTACAAAGCTAGATAATCAGTGTTGGGGTGGAGAGACAGTCTGAATATGAGTGATTAGCTGGAGGGATAACTTAAGTGCCTTCTGCTATGGTACGTGGTGGTAGAGAGGGGAGACACTGAAATGGATAAAGCACTGAACTCCACTCCTGAGGCCTCATACTACTCACCATGCAATATTAAAGTGAAACTGTCTGATATTTTGGTAATTAATACGAAAATGTTTTGTTGACTTTTTATGTCTGTGTGGGTGTGTGCATTTGAGTGCAGATCCCATAGAAGGCTAGATAGATGCATTGGGTCTCCTGGAGCTGGGTTTACGAGGGGTTGTGAACCTCCTGTCCTCTAGGAAAGCAGTAAGTACTATTAACCTCTGAGCCATCTCTAATCCCAGGGTGACATTTATTTTTCAGAGGTGTTTTGAGTTGCCTAAGCAGATAAAGCACTTGCCACACAAGCCTAACTTTCTGAGTTCAACCCCCAGAAACCATGTGCAGAAGGAAGAAAACTGGCTCTGGGCTTGGGTTCTCTGACACTCAGGCACACCTGTGCACGCCCACACTCAGAATAAAATGCAAGAAAAATAAGTACAGGATGAGAACTTTGTTCTTTAGATTTAAAATCTACCTTCCTTTGAAGAAGAATTCATTATTCTTTCCCTTTTTTTGATCAATCTGTAGGTATCAAAACTGCTTTTACCAGGAAATTTGGAGAGACTGCTTTCATTGCACCCCAATGTGAAATGATTCCAATTGAATGGGTATGCCGAAGAATAGCAACTGGATCTTTTCTCAAAAGGAACCCTGGTGTACAGGAGGGGTATAAGTTTAACCCACCAAAAGTGGAGATGTTCTTCAAGGTAACTCCTTTTGTGACTTAAAGTTACAAATTGCAGAGGTTAAACATTGAAACATCTGATACTGCACATGTCCTACTAGAAATGAATGTCAAGAATGTGGCGGGGGGAATCTGTAAACGTGTTTTTTGACAAGGTTGACTAATAAAAATAAATTTAAATGAATAGAAATAAAAAAAATGTTTTAAAAAGATTTATTTGCACTTTGGCCTGGTGGTACACACTTATATTCCTGCCTAGAGAGATGGCTCAGCAGTCAGGAGTACCGCTTGCTCTTCTAGGGGACCCAGGTTTGATCCCAATACGCACACGGTGACTTGTAACTGTGTAGCTCCAAGAATCTGATCTCTTCTGGCCTACAGCTGTAGTCATACATGCAGGCAAAACACCAATACTTACAAATAAAATTTAATGGAAAAGGGGGACATAGAAGAATTACTATTTCAAGGCCACCCTGGGCTTGGGGAAACGGGGTTGGTTTTTGTGTGGCTCTAGCTGTCCTGGAATTAGCTATATATATCAGACTGGCCACAAACTCAAGAGATCTGCCTATGTGTACCTCCCAAGTGCTAGAATTTTTATAAATTTAATTATAATGTATAACAAGTTATACCGATAACTGATTAAAAATGCAGTGTTTACATTGTCAAACTAGATGTGTGTAATGCACATACATGCAGGCAAAACAGGCATACACATAAAAACTTACAGGGAGAGGACAAAGTTGAAGTATTACCTAGAATAAATGACTCATCTAAATTAAAAGAATAATTGAAAGCACATTGGGGCTTGGAGAGATGGCTCAGCAGTTAAGAGCAGTTGTTCAAGGTGTAATTCCCAGCACCCACATGACTGCTCACAGCTATCTGTAACTCTAGTTCCAGAGGATTTGCTTCCCTCTTCTGGTCATATGTGCCAGCAAAACACACAGACATAAGAAGAAAAATAATTTGAATTTTTTCTTTATTTTTAAGTAGTCAAATCAGGGCCAGGGCGGTAGCTTAGCACTTGCTACTTTTCCAGAGAACTAGAATTTGTGCTTCATTTCCATACATGTAGTGCACACATACATACAAAGACACAAGTAAATTATTTAAAGTACACATAATAATTACTTGAATCATAGGCTACTCTAGGGGAAAATTAAGTATACTGCTATGTTTTATTCTCAGGATGATGCCAATAATGATCCTCAGTGGTCTGAGCAGCAACTCCTTGCTGCAAAATTTTGTTTTGCTGGGCTTGTTATAGGCCAGACTGAAGTTGACATCATGAGTCATGCCACACAAGCTATTTTTGAAATCCTGGAGAAGTCCTGGCTGCCCCAGAACTGTACACTGGTGGATATGAAGGTACTGATAAAATAGGGGGATTTAAGAGTAAACGTTGTAATTAACAGATGCCTTTAGTGGTGTGTCTTTTCCAAATCATTTCCTTGGCTGTTCTAGATTGAATTTGGTGTTGATGTAACCACCAAAGAGATTGTTCTTGCTGATGTTATCGATAATGACTCCTGGAGACTGTGGCCATCAGGAGATCGAAGCCAGCAGAAAGATAAACAGGTATACAGTGCTTTGAGCTTATTATCTTTTTTAAGATCGAGATAGGTGAGGGAGGAGGGGATGTTAAACTGATTTACTGATGTGTTTACTTCTAAAAATCATTTCTCTGCTGGAGATAGGGCACAGTGGCGGGACACTTGCTTAGCACACAAGGCCCTGAATTCAGCCTTCAGTACCAAAAACAGTGAATTGAACAAAAATCTTGAATGGTGGTAGGAAGTACTTTTAACCTATAAAGCAGGTTTATCTACTAAGTATCTTCACACATGAAGACTGAGTGACAGTTCTGGGACGCCACACCAAGTCTCCTTAATAATGCCACATCCGACTTTATTACTTCTTCTGGCAAAATCCTGTCTATACACATTTTAATTTTCAAGTGAGTCGTAACTGCTAATAAAAAGAAGCATTTGACTTTAAATGAAAGCTAAACTTTATTTTGCTGCTGGCTGAATTTTTCCATTGAAAAAAACTTGTACATCAAGGTACATTTTCAGATACATCTCGTACAAACTTCTCATAACCTCTACTAGAAGGAAGCAAGTGTTCTAAGATAGCAGGAGAAAGTTCTGTTCTAAACTTTGTTTTATTTTCTAGTCTTATCGTGACCTCAAAGAAGTAACGCCAGAAGGACTCCAGATGGTAAAAAAAAACTTTGAGTGGGTCGCAGACCGAGTGGAGGTAATTCTCTAGCAAACCTGTCATGTGTTCTTTATTTCATGACATTGGAACTGAGGAAGTAGCTCAGCAGTTGGTAAAGTGCTTGCTTGCTTTGCAAGTGTGAAGACATGACTTTGATTTTCCAGCACCCATGTAAAACAACAAAGGAAATGCCAGATGGGGCATGAATTTATAATTCCAAGATTGGGCCATCAGGCCCTGGAGGACCGCTAGGCCTCTCATGTTAGCCAGCATGCTGCCAGGCCACTGACAAGATGGCTTAGAGGTTAAATCACTTGCTACACAATCTCATAACCGTGTTCAATCCTAGAACCCATATGATAAAGGTGAAAGGAAAAGGCCAAATTCACAAAGTTCTCTGACCTCCATATTTGTGCACACACACATACACACAAAAATAAATTGAAAAATCTTAAATTAAAAATGAAAGGTTTGATGATGCCTGAGGAACATATGAAGTTGTCCTCTGCACTCCATGTTTGTATGAACACAGCAAAAATGAAAAATGTTTGGAGCCAGGTGTGATAGAGCATGCCAGCCATCTCAGCTACTCTGGAGGCTAAGACATGAAGGGTTTCAAGTTCCAGGAACCTGATTAAGTGAACCTGTCTGGGGGGAAAAAAAACAAACAAACCTTTGTTGCAAAATAAGATGTGAGGGGCATTTAGCATCTTTTATTCGGTGACTTTTAAAAAAAAGGAAGACCTTTAGGAATGATTCCAGTCAGGCTGCCTTACTGGTATACCAGAACTCTTAGCAGCTAAGTTAATCATACCATTCCAGGTTCTGGTGTAGAAACCTGAGATTCTGTTTCTAACTCCTATGTGTCACTTTAATTTCTAGGGTATCTACTACTATGAATCCACCAGAGTTGAGAGGGATTCATTATGAATTACAATCACTTCTTAGACCGTTATTTCCAATTAATATATATAGAGAGATCAAGGCCGCCAACTAACTTTAACCTAATTTGGTTGATTATGCCATGAAGGTTCAACAGAATTTGCTGAAACCTCTCTCATAGAACACTTTGTTACTGTTCCCTGAATATTAAGAGGCTTATCGTCTTCATTAATTAGTAACATCATTTGTCTGGTAAAAGTCTTAGCTTTTAGTAGGCAGGTAAGGTAGTACATACCTGTGATCCAGAAGGTAATAGGATCCAAGTTTGACACAAGGGAGAGGTTTGTGTTGTGTTCTTATTTGTGTGAGATGGCTCACTATATGAAGCCATGTAGAGCTGCCGCCATGGTGTTGAGATTAAAGGTCTCTGCTACCATTGCCTGGATGAGGTTTTCATTTTTGTTTTTTATTTTAATTTAATTTTTATTTTTATGTTACAGTTTATTCACTTTGTATCCCCTTCCCTCATCTCCTCCCATGTCCCTCCCCCAGTCCACTGATAGGGGAGGTCCTCCTCCCCTTCCATCTGACCCTTATTTGGTCTAATCAGGATTGGCTGCATTGTCTTCCTCTGTGGCCTGACAAGGCTGCTCCCCCATCAGGGGGATTGGGGGGGGGGGGGTTGTTTTGTTTTGTTTTTTAATGTCTTTGCTCAGCTTAATTTTGGTCTGCTCAGAAAAAAAAGAAAAAAAAAAAAAAAAACACACCAGCTGTGCATGGTGTCATGCACTTCTAATCCTAGCATTTGGAAGGCAGATAGGGCATAGCTCTGAGGTTAGGGCCATCCTGGTCTACATACTGAGACCTGTCTCAAAAAACAAACAAACAAAAAATGTGTGCTGGGGAAGTAGCACCGTTTATAAGCACTTGCCTAGCAAGCATGAAGCCCTAGGTTTGATCCCTAGGACTACATAGAATAAAGTGATGGCATAAGCCTATGATCCCAGCTTTCAGGTGAAAGAGAAGTTGAAGGTCATGCTCAGTTACCTGTGAGGCCCAGGTCTTCCTGGGCTGCATGAGGCCCTTTCAAAAAAGGAAGGAAGGGAAGAGAGGAGGGAAAGAGCGTAGTTAAGGAAAAACAGAAAAGCCAGCTATCCTGGTCGTTGGGAGGCAGAGAGGCAAGAGTATCAGGTCATTCTCAGCTAGATAATGCAGGCTCAGCAACACACAATTAAAAGAAAAATACTTTGTTACATTTACTGTATTTACCCCTTTTTTGACTTTCATATTCCTGTTTTTCTTTTCTAGCTGCTTCTGAAGTCAGACAGTCAGTGCAGAGTTGTAGTGTTGATGGGTTCAACTTCTGACCTTGGTCACTGTGAGAAAATTAAGAAGGCTTGTGGAAATTTCGGGATTCCATGTGAACTGCGAGTAACATCTGCCCATAAAGGACCAGATGAGACTTTGAGAATTAAAGCAGAGTATGAAGGTAAACTTTAAAAATTGCTAGAGAAAGCTGGGTGGTGGTGGCACACACATAAACTCCCAGCACTTGTGGAGGCAGAGGCAGGCGGATCACTGAGTTTGGGACAGCTGAGGCTACACAGAGCAGCATGATCTCAAAAAAAAAAAAGTGCTAGAGAATTTCAGGTATTCCGATTTGCATAAAAGGTTTTTTAAAAGGTGTGTGTATGTGTTTTTTAATAATAATGCTTAAAAGAGCCTTTCCATGTTTCCAAGGAAACCATGCGTATACTTTCATTGGACTTACCTCTAGTGATGCTGTAGAAGGCTATAAAAGAACAAGGAGAAAGAACTTAAAGTGCAAGTGTGGAGGGGCTGGAGAGATTCCTCAGCTGGATTCCCAGTGTCACATTGGGCATCGCACAACTGCCTGTTATTCCAGTTTCATTTCATCTGACATCTTGTGGCCTCTTTGGTCACCTGCATGCATATGATTCACAGGTGCATGCATGCAGGCACACATAGTTGAAAAATGGCTCACAGTTGAGGGCCGCCACAACCATCTGTAACTCCAGTCCTAGGGGAATCCCTTCCCCTCTTCCAAGGACACATGTGCATAGATGCATGCAGGCAAAACACCCATACATGTAAAAGAATTTTTAGGCCTCCAAGCATGAAAGAAAGGAGAATAGACTTCTGAGGATGTGTGGCCTAATCTAGCTGTCTAATTAGCAACACGCCTTGAACATGATTTATGCTGCGATCTGACCCAGCTGCTCAAGGCCTTAGGCCGAAGCAACAGGGCCTCTCTGGTGTCCTAGTCAGCTTTCTTGGAAGCAAATGAAAAATAAAGCTGTAGTTTCAGGAGATAGCACATTAAATAAATGATAGAATTACATTGGTGTAAAATATTAGAATCTGTTCACATGAAAATGATTCTTAACAAGAAAAATAATTTTAGGTTGGCTGAAGATGCAATATAGCTCAGTTGGTAGAAATGCATATTTAGCATGCAAAAAACCCAGGATTCAATACAGCCCCACAGTAAACCAGGAATAGGCATCACACCTGTACTCCTAACTGTTGGGAGGATAAAACGAGTATTATTACAAATTTCATGTTTGCTTGGGCTATAGAGTAAGATCCTATGTTAAATATGAGGTTCTTAAAATGTTTGAAATCTGTTTGCACACTTTGGGTGTTGGTTTTGATATTGGAGATGAGAGAACCTAGAACCTAGTCTCAAGCTAAGCTCTTGAACTGTGGGTGTTGTACTCTGTACTCTAGCACCTGGATACTGTATTATTCAGGAAGAAGCCACATCTCTAATCACTATTTGAGTGAGTCTACCGGCACCCTATTAAGGACAACTCAACATGAAAAATAGCTGTTTGGATGGTGAAGTTCTTTTGCCTAGTCCAAGCAGTAATAACAGAAGGAAGCTATGAGCCTGCCATTCCCTCACTGACCTCATGACAATAGAAATAAAAAATGGTCAAACCTATTCTACCTAGGTTATTGCTTACTATCCAGTTAGGTAAAAGGTGAATTGTACATTTTGAATTTATATATATGCCTTTATCTTTATGATACTTGAGTAGCAGACTACTCAAGGATTTAAAGTTGTTTTTTTTTTTTATTTTACATTTGTTTTTACTGTATAAGTGTGAACAGATGCATGTATGAATTGCAGGAGTCAATCCTCTCCTATCATATGGTTCCAGAGGTCAAACAAACAGGTGATCGGGCTTGGCAACAAAGTTTCTCTTACCCACTGAGCCATCTCACCTGTCTGGCATTGTTCATTCCTGGATTGTTGTTACTGTCAACAAAACAAAGGACCTGACTGTCTTACACCTTTCCTAGGGGATGGCATACCTACTGTATTTGTCGCAGTGGCAGGCAGAAGCAATGGTCTGGGCCCAGTGCTGTCTGGTAATACTGCATATCCAGTTATCAGCTGTCCCCCCATAACACCAGATTGGGGTGCTCAGGATGTGTGGTCATCTCTTCGACTGCCCAGTGGTAAGACCTTGAAATTTTTCCGTACTATGTGTATATCCAAAATTTGAAGAAGATCTCAATGTCTTTACCCAGCCTCATCTGTTAATACATGATTATGTATTTTAGCAACAGCATGCTAATTTTAAATCAGATTTTATATTCACATGCTTAAGTATGCATCTCTAAGAGAAAGAAACTTGGGTTTATTGTCTTTTTTTTTTTTTTTTTTTTTTTTTAGTTTTTAAGCTAACTACTCATTTTTCTATCATTTCCTTTCTGAACCAATAGGTCTCGGCTGTTCAACTATACTTTCTCCAGAAGGATCAGCCCAGTTTGCTGCTCAGATATTTGGGTTAAACAACCATTTGGTATGGGCCAAACTTCGAGCAAGCATATTGAACACTTGGATATCCTTAAAGCAAGCTGACAAGAAAATCAGAGAATGCAATTTGTAAAAAAACAAAAACAAAAAAAGGCTATTTAGATTTTAAGAGAAAAGTTACATAATCTTAGTTCAGATTTTAAAAAAAATCAAGCAAAATGATTTTACATTAGAAAAGAATTTAATTTGCTAGTAAACAAATGGTTTATGGGTTGACAAATTATCGGTGAATCTTTTTTATTAATATTTTCAGCTCTACATAGTGATGTGTCCCTGTAACCTCAGCACTCCAGAGGCTGAGGCAGCAGAATCACTAAGTTGAACTATGTATTGAGACCCTGTGTTGAAAGACAAAATGTAGTTAGTCAAATTGGCATGACACTGCTAAATTACATCTCCTGCTCTGTGTGGTCAGTGTTGGGTATGTACAGAATTATGTGTCTGAAGCAGTGTCTGGTTTAAGAACCAGTAGGGCTCTCTTACAGAGGACCTGAGCTTGGTGCTTAGCATCCAGTGGAGTGCCTCACATAGTCACCTTAAACTAGCAAGTTCCAGGCCATGTGCCTGTATGGCTTCCTTATGCAGCTGCTCTAATACTATTACCACCCCCTCCTAACATGTGCACAAATAATTTAAAATAATAAACTTTTAAAAGAGTATTTCTAATTGTAATAGTAGTTTTTTATAAATCAGTACTTACTGGTCTATAGTTCATGTGTTGAAAATTAAAATGCTTGTGTATGGTAATAATGATATATTCTCACTGAATGGACTGCATTCTGAGTCATTATCTAAGAAAGTGCTCTGCTACATGAATCTCCAGCTAAAGACTGTTTATGCTTTGGCGGGGGGGGGGGGTGTTTTTACAATGGTAAGGAAACCCTAGTGCTTTGTACATGCTGGGCAAGTAACTACCTCTGAGTTACACCTTGAACTCTGGGTTTTTGTTTGTGTGTGTGTGTGTGTGTGTTTGGTTTTGTTTTTCTTGTTTTGTTTTTAAAGAAATAGAGATTATGGGTAGAAGAAACACATAAGATGAAAGAGGAGATGGAAAGACCTCTTTCCTGAGGTCATCGTGTATTGGGGCCATTCTACATGGAAAAAAAGCAGTCAACTTGCCATTCCAGTAAAAGATCCTATAAATACTGTTTGTTTAACTAGTATTGCTGGTGTTTCTGTGGGTTGTAAACTTTGACTTTCTGGTTATACATTTTTAGCCACACCTGCAGTTACCATCCTACCACTGTTTTCAGAAATTCGGATTCCAGTCTGTAATCATAGTGGGGTGGGGCTGGTGGTTTTTGCTAGTGTGTATCTGGACAGTGGCCCACATTTGCTTCTGTAGGAGCAGACGTTACTGATAGTCAAATTTGTGTTTCTTGAAGCTTAGCTGTAGATTCTGTTGCAGCATTTCCCCGTGTTTTGCCATATTCCATCACATACATGTTTTAGGGAAGTGACTAATAACACTGAGCCAGGTGTGGTGTCTTGCTTCCCTCTCTTTAGCTCTGCTGGCTCCTGCATCTTAGGGACTTCCAAAAACTCTTGAACATATTTACTATTCAGTGCCAACTACCATGCCAGCATGTTTGCTGTAAATACACAAAATCTAGGAAGGGCAGAGTTGTATAAGTGAACACAGTATTATTTCATTGTAATTTTTTTCTTGTTAAATCTTCATTGCAGTTTATTGTAAATCCACAATTCAGTATTTGGAAGTATGCGTACACTGTCCTCTGAGTGGCCAAACATTAATCTGAGCAGCCATGAGTTGGCATGCAAATTTACATGTTTGTTTTTATGAGAAGTTTAGGTTTGCTCTAAAAGGATTTATGGCCCTCCAGGATGAAAAAGCTGCCACAAATGAAATGGTGACAAACCCACACCAGTCTGTACTCCTCACCTTTGACTTTTTCAGATGCTCTTATCATTTATTTGCCTGGACCCTGTTGGGTTTAACCTAGCTAACCCCTCCTTCAGGTAGTTCAGATATACTGATCTTTTCTTAGGTATTTGTGCCTTCTACTTTGAAATTCTAAACAGTATCAGGTGATCTTAACACTTTTAAGCTAAAACTAGGATGTCTGGCTCCTAGCTCTGTATGCCAGACTTAAGTCCAACCACTTGTTTCTGCCTATCTGTCCCATGGGCACCATTATTACAACCACTGTGCAGCTGTAGCTTGGCCCCCATTCTCAATTAAGCATTTGGTTGCCATTAGACTAATGCAAACTCCTCTTTTTTGCAGTGTAGACTCGCATAATGTCTGGCTCTTTTTATAGAAAAAAAATGTGTAGACTGGGCCTGTTGTGTGTATTGTTGCATGCTTTTTTAAATCCCTGCTCTCTGAAAGCAGAGACAGGTGGATCACTGAATTTTAGGCTAGCTAGGACTAGACAAACCCTGTCTTGAAAAAAAATCCATAAAAAGAATTTACCACTTGATTTTATACATTCCTTGTCTACTTTGAAAGCCTTTCTAAAAGTCACTGGTGTGAGCAAGGCCTATGAACGAAAGTGATCTCAGCTACTCAAGAGGCTTACAAGTTCAAGGCCAGCCTGGGTCATGTGACACCCTGTTTTAAGGGAAAAGTGCTGGGGATACAGCCTAGTAGTTTGTAGAGGACTTCTCCAGCATGTACACACAAGGCCCAAGCAGGAGGAATCACTCTTTTTCAAGGATAATCTTTCTCCCTAAAAAAAATTAAAATGTTACTTGGGGTTCATCTTCCATTGCCATGAAACCACATAACCATGGGAGGTAACATTTCTCTCTGCTGGAGTATAGACGCTAGAGAAATATGTTGTTCCCCCATGCTGTATTAGTTACTTTTCACGTTACTTAAGGCTCACATTACTTTTGGCTCAGATGGAAGAGGCATGCTGGCAGGAGTCCCGGATCAGAAAGCAGGAAGATGAATGGATGCTGGTGCTCCCTTCAGTTTCCACTTTCCACTCTGACCAGGGCCCTAGCCCATGGGGTGGTGCCACCTGCATCCAAGATGAGTTACACTTGCTGAGTTAAGCTGTCCTGGAAACACCCTCATCAACACATCCAACAGTGTGTTTTTACAGGGGTTTTAAGACCTGTCCACTTGACAGTGAAGATTAACCACTCAGTCTGAATCAACTATGCTTAGATATCTACTAGAGGTTAGAGAATGTTACTTTGTTTTTGTGTTGTTTTATTTTTTTAAATGTTCTGCCTGTGTTGTACACTTACATGCCAGAAGAGGGCATCAGATCTCTTTATAGATAGGTGTTCATGAGCTACCATGTGGTTGCTGAGAATTGAATTCTGGACTTAACAGTGGAGCCATCTCGCTAGCCTGAGTTACAGTTTCTTAATGCCAGTTTTTAACATTAAAGGGACTTGAGATTTTTAACATCTAGACAGGATTACTGTTCCTTGAATAGGCACAGCTTATGGAAGACCCTACCTAACTATGGCACATCAAAAATTTTAATCATGGATAGACTGGTTAATAGGGTCATCCATTAACTATGGTCCTCAATTTTACCATTTTTTAAACATGTATGCACGTCAGTGTCCTCAGAAACTAGAGGTGTCCAATTTTCCTGGAACTAGAGTTACTGCCTAATATGGGTGTTGAGAACCAAACTCTGAAAGAACAATGTATGTTCTTAAGCCACTGAGCAGTTTCTGTAGCCCCCATTAGTTCCTTGAAATGCAGTCTAATCAGTAATGTGTATAGATGAAAGTTTTTGTTTTTTGAGGCGGGGGATGGGGGGCTGGCTGTACTAGAACCCCTACTCCTGCCTCCTGAGTGCTGGGGTTAAAGGCATGCATCACCACTGCCTGGCACATGAACATTTTTTTAAGTATGCACATAGAATGGTTTTCTTATTGAGACAATATGTTTGCCCCACACTTGATCTATAGCTGAGGCTAATCTGAAACTTTAAACGTATATGTCTGTGGGTATGTGCGTGTGTCCTTGAACAAGGAACCTCTTGAGCCCCTTAACACTAACTTGTTTATGTCGTGCTGAAGATTGGAGCCAGTCTTTTGTGGATGTTGGGCAAACACTCTGCCAACTACATCCCCAGCCCTAGTTTTTAAATTTTGTTGTAAATATACTTGGAATTTCTGTTGCTTCAATAAATATTTAAAACCATATGAGTTAATATATATATCATGTCCTGACAAATGTGTATATTATTACAAACGAAAACCACCTTGACTATGAGCAGTGGAGCATTTATTTAGAACGGGAATCTGTAGAACAGGTTAACCAGTAGTCCCCAAATATGGAAGGTCAGGAGTTCAGGAAGTTACGGGACTAAATAGCACTTGTCTCATGGGATTGTTGCTCTAAAATAGTTCTGTGGAAGCTTCTTGAGGATCCTAATTGGCCAAGTTCATACAAACCAGCTTTTGAGTACCCACATAATGACTAATGTTAATAGCTTGACTAGGCTAAGAGATGCCCAGGTGGCTAAGACTATTTCTGTGTGGAAGTAGATGGTGTTGAATATAGACTGAGTGAAATCTGTTGAAAGACAAACTAGAAAAGGAAGTGTGAATTTGAGTTAGGAAATCTGTCTCCTTCCCTTCCTGGCTCAGGCTCATCATATTTGGCCGAGTACTCTTGTCACCATTTTGTAGCTTGCAGACAGCAGGTTGTAGGGTTTCTCAGCTTCTAGCTGTCAGACTAGTCCATTATAAGTCCTCATGTGCACTCGCCATTGCTTCTCTTTCCTTGGAGTCAGCCCACAGCTGCAACCCACAGCGTGTGCAAGGTTCTGGGATGTAAAAATTAATAAGGTTGAATTTCTGCCCTTGGTCCTGAGTCTTGTGGGGTCAGATAGTTCGGTGATTTTGGTGGGTTTGTTTGAGGTTGTGTGTGTGTGTGTGTGCTTTTTGTTTTGTGTTGTTTTTTGATTTTAGTGTTTTGTGGGATTCCCCTTCTCCCAGGGGTTGAACCTAGGGCCTTGTGCTTCCTAGCCAAACCGCTAATACTGAATTAGAGCTTCAGTCCTTTAAATTATATTAATAATGTACTTTTGATAGACTTTTGGATCTTAAAGATTTAGGATGAATTAAAAGGGCAGTTAATGTCTTGTTCATCCTCAGTTTTTCATAGAACTACCACCACTTAGTAAGTACATAACCTAGCTACATTACATCTTATCTCAGCAACTTTAAATCCCTAGCACAGGCATATACATGGTTCTGAAATACTTGAATAAAAATGCACATTCTCAAAGATGGAGACACAGAGCCACACATAACTTAATCGAGTAGTGCATGTACAGCAACTGGGATGTATGATAGAGTTAGGCTCTTGAGTGTCCTGTAAAGGCTCCTTTGACACTTTAGGACAGTGCTTCTCAACCTTTCTAATGCTGTGACCTGTAAGACAGTTCATGTGCCGGCCACCAACTGTGAAATTACTGTTATGATACGACACCCCACCACCACCACCACCGTGGGTTGTGACCTGCAGATTGAGAACCAGTGCTTTAGGAAATGGAGCCTAGTGGGGGTATGCTTGAGTTTTGGTTTGGTTTTGGTTGAGGCAGGTTTTCTCTGTGTAGAAGCCCTGGCTGTTCTGGCTTTGTAGAGCAGGGTGGTCTCCAACCCATAGAGGGCCACTGTGGATGAGCTCTTACACGAGACATTTGGACTGGGGCTTCACCAGTTTTTTGCTTCCCAGTAACCATTAAGTGGGCAGCTACATGATTCCCATCATGATGCTCTTACCCTCGGAGGTTCCAAAGCAACAAAGCCAACCTACTATGGGCTGAAATTCGTGAAATCATGACCCAAAATAAATATTTCATCCTAAGTTCAGTATGATGAACACAAGCCACACAAAGTTGGCAGCCACCAAATGACTTGTCGACTCACAAAAATGTGAGTAAATATTTGGTTTAAAAGCTGAGTAACAAGCACATTAAATGAATCTGGGGAGAATGAAGGAAGGTTTAGTACAGGTCTACCAGGTAACCACAAAAAGCAATGGTAGTAAGCAAATCAGGTCTCTGGCCTCAAGACCATAGGCCAATCACAGGAGACTTAAAGAATTAGTGCTCAAAAGCAGTCTTGCACTGGGGGTTGTAGTAAGAGCGCTTGCTTAGCATACATGTGACTGCTCTCCACGAGGAAGTTGAGCCTTGGAACCAGAATGCAGACTGGCTAGGGTACACGAACAAGTTTGCTCTAAAAAGTATTCAAGCAAGTCCTCCAAAAAGTAGTTTACTGTGTGAGCTCTACATAAGTCGTAGAATCAATCCAGCTCAGAACCTGGACGTTCTCACCCCGTTAGGCTTCCAGGCCACTGCTCCTCAACTGGATCCCAAAGGAAGGTTAAACAGTACCAGAGCTTCCTTTGCTTTCCCCAGAGTCAGCCCCAATTTCTCCTAATCACTGTTCATGTCCTGAAAGGGCAATTCCTAAGCACGTGAGAAACAGTGCCTCTACCTGCCTCCTTCAAACCACTCCCTACGGTTCCTTAAGTTAGGTAACACCCTACAGACGTTACTTGTCTCCTGAAGGCTGTCGCCCCGCTGTAGCCCAACCATAGGGGTCGTACCAGAATGTTGGCGGCTTTGGGCTGGCAGCTTTGGTAAGTCCCTTCTGAATCTGAGTCCTTCCTCCAGCCGTCTTTTCATTAGGAGTTGGGGCGCTAAGAAACAAATTTCCTGCCGGAGACTGGAAGAAGCCGGATTTCGGAACTAGCTCTGGGACCCACGCTGCGTCTCCCGGCCGCCTAGCAACCACCAACTTCCTCCTCCACCGGGCCAACTTCGAGATCCTCTTCCGGGGCAGAGGTTGCCCCACTCTTCCCCTCTTCTCCTCCAAGATGGCGAGCGGCGGCGGCGGCGGCGGCGGCGGGGTGTCGGTTCCTGCGCTGTGGAGTGAGGTGAACCGTTATGGCCAGAACAGCGACTTCACTCGTGCCCTCAAGACCGTCAACAAGAGTAAGTGTCGGGGCGACCCGGGCTGTCGGAAGGACGCCGCCTGTGTCCAGCGCGGAGGGGATCGCCGCGTCCTCCGGCTCGGCCCCACGCCCAGGGGCGGCTCGCAGCCCCACGGCCACCGGCGGCCGGAGCTCGGTTGCTTAGGGCCACGTGTACTTCCCTCAGAACCCGCGGGACCCGACGCGCGGGGGTGGGGGACACTTAAAGAGACCGCGACGTCGGGAACCGCTTCCAAATGGTTCTTCTCAACGCTGCCGGATTTTGCAGAGATGTCAGATTGACTTTTCTCCTTCGTAATCTTAAGTGATCCAGACAGTGTCGCGGAGGAAACTTATTGGCTGGGGCTGGGGCTGGGGCTGGGGCTGGGGCTGGGGCTGGGGCTGGGGCAGGGACAGGGACAGGGACAGGGGAAGGGACCTGCCTGGACACGCAATGACCATCTCTGCTGTTGCAGACAAGGTGGAAGCATTGTGGGTTCGAAAGGGGAGGGGTGTGAATGGCAAGCCTACTGTTGATTTCCACGTAGCGTTTAGCTAGAGTGCGTGGGTGGGTGGCAGCGCGAGTGCCCCAACATTTAAAATAATATAGGATTGACTTGTGGTTTTAGCCCCCATAAGTGATCATTTCCGATTTTATTTTGCCTTCGAGATTCCATACGTTGTTATTCTTCACCACAGGCCTGTATAATATGGCCATGCTATATTCTGTACAGTAGTTGCCCATGTGTATGTTAGGTTTGGTAACGTAACTGCAACCTTTGAGCTGTACAAAGCACTAGTTATGTAAAGGCATAGCAGTGACGTATCCTTTACGCCTCTGGGTTTCTGAGTTACTATGAAAGCAGTAATGACGGCCGCAGTGCATTGAGGAAAATAGCCACGAATTAGAATTGTCGCTTCCCAAACTTACTTGAATTAACATTGGCCCTTAACTGGGCCTCCAGACAATATGCAGTGTAACACTCTGCAGCAGTTCTTTAATCATCCGAGACTGTCATTTCAGCAGAATGTATTAATTTATAGAAATTCCTTTGACTCCTAAACTGGGAATTGGATTCCTGTGATTGACCAGGAGCAACGGCAACTATGATCCTAGTCATTTTGACACTGACCTGCTGTTAGCCTTGAACCTTGGCCACCTAAATTATTTGTGCTTTTCTTTGATCTCTTTATGGGAAAGGGAAATTATGATCACTTCTTTGGAACATTTCCACAAGATATATTGTGTCTACATTGTACTTTCTGTTTGTTTTTGCAGAGCTGGAAATTGGACCTAGGGCCTCACATATGTTAGGCAAGCTGTATTCGAATTTTTATGTTATAAAAATGTGGATTTAGAAATAGCTTTCCTGAAATTGTTGTCTAGTATTGCAGATCAACAAGGATGATGCAACTGCCCTGCACTGTAAAGTTGTTTGCCTTATCCAGAATGGAAGTTTCAAAGAAGCCTTGAATGTCATCAATACTCACACCAAAGTGTTAGCCAAGTAAGTGATCAGCTAGGTGTTCAGTTATTAGAAATACTTTTTTTTAAAGAGCTGTGTAAGCTCTCCCATTGCTTTCTTCTACTTTCACTTCCTTTTGACCTATTTATGTTTGTCATATGTCTTGCTGAAACCTTCAGAAGAGTAGTAATCTCTGTTGTGTTCTGCTGTGCTGTTGGAAGCTTTCATAGTTTTTTTGTTTGGGTGTTTTCTGCTTGTTTGTTTGCCTGCTTGCTTGTTTTCTGTTTTCCTGGGTTTTCATCGTTTTGTATTTGTATGTTTGTTTTTTCTGGATCTAATCCTTGCTAGCCTGGAACTCACAGTGTAGCCGAAGCTGGTCTCAAACTTACAATCCTACTTCAGCCTCCCTATTGATGGGATTACAGGTATATGCCACAGTTTCCAGAGCTGTCTTTCTTTTGAACTGCTAAGAAGGGGGTAAAGCATAAAGGAATGCAGAGCATAAATGTGAAAAGAGGTACTTAAACAATTTATGATTGTAATCTAGCCCTCAGTAAGCTGAGGCAGAATTCTAGTTTGAGGCCATCTTGGGCTATATACTTAGACTCTGTTTCCAAAAGTGGGGCGCTGGGGTGGTAATAGGTCTTGGAGGCAGAATATAGGCAGAAAACAGTCATGTATCCATCAACTAGACATGTGTACATTTAGAGCATATAAACATCTAAATTGGTAGAAATCTTTAAGACGAGCATAGACTGACCTCTGGTCCTAGGTCCATTAATTGTTTAGGCCAAGACCTTTGGGTTTTTTGTTTTCAGATATTGATGGTTTTTTATTTCGTTTATTATTTCACATACTGTGAACTTCCTGAATTGTTACCTTTTTACATTTGCTTTGATAAATTTTTTTTCTGGGTGGAGGATTATGGTTGAAACTTCAAGATGAATTTTAGATAATATTAATGTAGGTAGTTTTAAATCTAGGGATTTAAATGCTGCTTGCTTGGTTGAATCTTTACTAGTCACATCATTATAAATAGCATGTTTTATTTCTAATTAGTTTTTCTTTGATAATTTGCTTTGTGAACAAGGTAACAGAAGCATTGTATATTTTATTAGATAGACTTAAGAATTTTTTTTTTTTTTTGAGACAAGTCTCATGTCTCCCAGACTAGCCTAATGCTCCCCCAGTAGGTGAGGAAGAGCTTGGATTTCTGATCTTTACCTGTATTTTCTAAGTGCTAAGATAACTACATGTGGGGTGCTGGGCAGAGAACCCAGGGCTTTGTGTATGCTGGGCAAGTACTTACCAACTGAGTGACACCCACAGTCTCAAGATGTAGCTCAGATAAATGATTGTCTTTGTATCTTAAGGCAGTCTTGCATGTAGCTCGTCCGTTACCCATGGTTTTGTTAATATTCATGAAAAAAGAATAGGTGAGGAAATGGATGTGGTACTTTGTGCTGCTTTAAGACCTGTGTGATTTGTTGTGACAAATTTAGATTGACATGTGCCAAGTACTTAAAGCAATCTGGCACATACATTGTTCTGCCTTGTTATATAATAATCAGATGCTGGTTTTGTTTTTGTTTTTCCCTTCAGTAACTCACTCTCCTTTGAGAAGGCCTATTGTGAGTACAGGCTGAACAGAATTGAGAATGCCTTGAAGACAATAGAAAGTGCCAACCAGCAGACAGACAAACTAAAGGAGCTTTATGGACAAGTGGTAATTACTGCCTTAAGTACCTGTTGACAGTCGTCTCATGTAAACATGGCTCTACTCCTAACAGAGCAGGGATGAAGAAGTCCAGCTCATCCTGATGCTCCACAAAATGAGCCACCAAACCAGTTCTTGAGGTTTGGACATTTGTAAAAGTAGCATTTATTTGCCTGAGGTAATTGTCTTGGAGGCTTAGTGCCTTTGTCTGCTAATTTGGGCCTAGTCCTGGAAGCTTCCAGCCTCTGTACAATACAATCTAGGCCTAGAATGTTCTCAGCCTCTGAGACTTACTGCTGATTAAGTTCACCCTTTCTAGCTCTTTCTGAACTCCTATTGGCTGGTTCAACTCAGCTGTTCTGTCTCAAACTCCTCTCCAAGCTGACTAATTTAATCTGGCTTCTTTCTTGGCCTCTGACTGAATTGCTCTGCTTAGCCTCAAACTAATACTAGCATTCTGTTCTAATCGTCCGGCTCCTCTTTATTCTCTGGATTCTTATTCATTCTGTCTTCACCTGTGTCTAGCTTGTTCTCTCCTCAGCCTGTCTCTGTAAAACTGCCTCCTCCCACTCTCTCTGCCTCTGTCCTGCTCTCTCAAGTAGCTTCTCTTTCCTCAGAGAATTGGGCATATCTTATCTGTCAAATCTTTCTGATTCCTCACTTTGTTCTCCTTCCAATTAGACCTCACTTTCAAAACATGGGTGCTTCCTTCTACAAACTAGCTTTACCTTTGTTGCCTGGGATTAAAAGTGTGTATAAGGTTGTGTCTACATTCCAGCCAAATCACACGGACCTAGAAGGTCTTTGGATATGATCAGAGCAAGTATGTTGCTTCAGACATGTTCCCTGTTTTGTGCTCTTCACTGGAAGAGTTGTATATACAGTAATCTATAAGCTGTAACTTCTTCAGTGTTAGTGGAGACAGTATTTCTAATATGTAACTGATATTCTAAGTTTAAAATAGGGTGATTATGAAAGATGGGAATTTAGAGACTTTTTCTGTACTCTAATATATAGTTTATTTGTAAAACTGTACCCTGTGAAAATGTAACTGTATGAAATGTTTTAAAATTAGATTTGTATGTGTGTGAGTATTTTGCTTATGTAGTATAGGCATCACATGCTTGCTTTATACCTATGGAGGTCAGTGCAGATGGCTTGGAACTGAAATTATGGATGGTTGTAGGCCACCATCTAGGTGTTAGGAATTGAGCCCAAGTCTTTTGCAGGAACAAGTGCTCTTAAGCACAGAGCTATCTCTCCAGCCCCTGAAGGATTTGAGACAAAATTAGGCCTGATCTGAAAGTTAATGATGAGAAGACAGAAAGGTAACTGCCTAATTATAGGGTGAATTTCAGGAGCTGCTGAAGAAAACCAGTCTCTGTCATACATAGGGAACTAACAAATCCAGAGTAGCAGCTGTTACTACCCTTTTTATTTGTGTATTTTGTTTTGAGATAAAGTCTTTTTTTACTATAAATCTCTGACTAGCCTGGAGCTCCTTTTTTTGTTTTGTGTTTTGAGACAGGGTTTCTCTGTGTAACCTTGTCTAACCTGGACTTTCTTTGTAGACCAGGCTGGCCTCAAATTCTGCCTGCCTCTGCCTCCCTGAGTTCTGGAATTACAGACGTACACTACCGCACCTAGCAGTTCTAGGAAATTTTAAGTCTTCAGTTAGCATTGAATTTTTCTTCTGTTCACTGGTACTTAGTAATCATTTTGTGTAGTTTTTTTTTTTTTTTTTCATTGTAATTCATGCAACAGCTTGAATGTTTTCTATAGAAAGATTTCCATTCATGAACTCTAGGCATTTAACTATGACAAAGAGCTTGCTTTTCTAAATGTTATCATGCCTACAAATATGTACTATAATATTCATTGCAAGTAACTTTTTAAGTATTAGCACACAAAACTAATTAAAAATATATAGACAACTGGCTTGTCCATATTGTGTTTCTAGGTTCCCTAGTTAGTGGTTCCAGAAAGCGTTAGTGTGGTCTAACAACCATCTCTGACTTTGCTCTGGCCTTCAGCTGTACCGCCTGGAACGCTACGACGAGTGCTTGGCCGTGTACAGGGATCTTGTCCGGAACTCCCAAGATGACTACGATGAGGAGAGGAAAACAAACCTGTCGGCTGTCGTTGCAGCTCAAAGCAACTGGGGAAAAGTGGCTCCAGTGAGTGTCCTCCTGACCTGTACTGCGATGGGAGAATGTCCATGTTTCCTGCTTGACAGGCATTTTTCTCTGTGACAGGAACACTTGGGTCTCCAAGAAGGCACACATGAGCTGTGTTACAATGCTGCCTGCGCACTGATAGGGCAAGGCCAACTGAACCAGGCAATGAAAATCCTACAAAAAGCTGAAGGTTGGGAGTTTTTAAACTTTCTTTAAGTACAGTCTGGGATATATAACTTTAGACAGTCTCCAAAAATTGCATTTAATATTTTTGAAATTCTTTGGTGAAAGTTAACTGGGGTGGTTAGAATTTTCAGGAGTTTATCTAACCATATCGCTATTTCTGATTGAGAATTAAAGTCGTTTCTGGAGTTTAATTTTAAAGAGTACATCTTTGAGCAGGTTATTATGAGTACTAAAGGCAAATTAATTGACTGACAAACAATATATAAGAAAATCATTCCTGGACCAGTGAAATGGGTCGGCAAGCAAGGGCACTTGCCGCTAAACCTGATGGTTGTCCTCCGACCTCCACATGACATGACATGCATATGTGTACACATACAGACTGAAACAGATAAATGTAAATTTAAATTTTTTAAAAGAAAGTCATTCCATAAGTGTTACTTTCTATTATTTTATTTCTGTTCAAGTAATACTACTCCTGGATACATGTGCCCATATAAACTATATATTTATAGTACCACACAAGGACGTTTTAGTCCATTTAATATGTTTCTACATATATCTCATGCTTTGAAACCTTTGACATAAAAGCAGGGGGCTAGGGGGTATCGTTAGCATACTCCAGGCTGTGGAATCGGTCCCAGCATCAAATAGAAACAGAGAAGGAGGAGAGGAATCAAGAGGAGAGAGGAAGCAGGAATGGTGTGGAGCACATTTTAAAATTCCGCTCACAACCAAGTCCAGTTCCAGGAGATCTGATGCCCTCATGATGCACTGTCTTAGCGAAGAATTCCATTTCTAGAATTTTAAAGACGCATTTAGATTAGATAAAAATATATATTTGCATAAAGATCAATTGAAGGAATATTTAGGAGAACAAGAATTTGTAAACAACATGAGCTTCTGTGTGGTTAAAAGATTGGTCATGGAAGCTGGGCAAAATATTGTGGTCAATAGTGTTTGCCTTACAGTGAATGAATTCATTCCCAGTCCGGTCCTTACATAGAAAGCTGTGGTGGGGCTGGAGGGATCACTCAGCGATTAAGAGCACTGGCTGCTCTTCCAGAGGAGTAAGGTTTGGTTTCTGGCACCCACGTGGTGGTTCACAACTGTATGTAACTCCAATTATAGGAAACCAGATGCACCTTTTAGCCTTGACAGGCACCAGGCACACAGATGGTGCACATACATACATGCAGGCAAACCACACATCCAAAATGAAAACCTTAAAAGCCCAAGGATGTATCTCAGCTGCAAAACTGCTTGAAATTTGCTCAGAAACTAGTTTTTGCATTTTTGGAACAAAAAAAAAAAAAAGGAAGTACCTACTGATACTAATTTTAAAACTGTTTTTCTTCTGTAGATCTTTGTCGTCGTTCATTTTCAGAAGATTCTGTAAGTATTCAATAAAATCAAATTTAATTTTAGACTCTTTTGGGAGGTTTCATTCAACTTTGTGGGATAAATAGTACCATGCATTTGGTCCGTTATGTAATCAGTAATTTTCTTTAGTAGCTTAATTTCAGCAACTTTTCTGAGTTTTCTACGTGTTTTGCATCAGGACAAGAATCTCTTTGTACTTCTGGTTCTTCTTTTACTCTGATACTTAGTTTTAACATTTCTCTATCAAACACAAATAAAATCATGTGTTTGGGACTAAGCATCTCGGACCTTCCCAGCCAGGTGAGTGTAGGGTAGTAAACGAGCATACTGGGTTATGGGGTGGTAGCTTGCTCAGTAAAGTGCTTCTGTGTAAACTGATGATCAGAGTTCGCTTTGCTGGGTTTGTGAGCATGATGAATTCATGAGATCATGTACTTGCAATCCCAGCCCTCCAGAGGTGGAGACCTGTGATCTTTGGGGCCCTGCAGCCTGCCCTGATCAGCAAGGTCCAAGAAAGTGAGAGACTGTCTCACATAAGAAAGTAGACGGGGATGGAAAGATGGCTGAAGGGTTAAGGAGGACTTGCTGCTCTTCCTGAGATCCCAAGTATAACTCTCAGCACCCAGGTCAGATAGCTTACAAACACCTGTAATTCTAGCTCCAGGCAATCCGACATCCTCTCCTGGTCTTTGCAAGCATCCCAGGAACATAGCATGTACTCCCCCAGACATATAAGTAAAAATAAAATCTTTTGAAATGTAACAATAGATAGCACCCAAGAACTAGCATTCAAAGTTGTCTTTGGCCTCTAATATACAGACAGACATGCATGTTATACATACATAAATATGTATACACACACATAAGGAATATAACCTAGCTTTGAATATTCAGTATGCATGTGCACCAGCCAGTCTTTCTGAAGAGTTCCTTCTGTGTGTAAATCCCATACTACATTAGCTCATTCGGGGGCGTGGATTAAGCAAGCCGCCTACCTCTGCTTTTTTAGGTGTCAGCCAGTGAATGTAGTGCCCTTACGCATGCTAGGCAGCACTGTGCTACTGAACTATATACCAGCCTCCCCCGCCCCTCTTTTTTGAGATGGAATCTCACTAAATTTCCTGTGCTGGACTTGAGCTTGTTCTGTAGCCCAGTCCGGGTTTGAACTTTGTTTTCCCTGTTTCAGTGTCCCTAGTAATTGGGACTACAGGGTCTGTGACAACAGGCCCTCATGCTGTAGGCAAGGCACTGAACTTTTTATGTGTGGTACTGGCACTTTTTTTTAAGACTTATTTTGCCTTTATGTTAATGTGTGTATCTCTGTGTGTGGGTACAGGTGTCCAATAGTCCAGGAAAGAGCGTTGGATTCCCTGGAGGGAGATGTAGTCACAGGCAGTTGTGAGCTGCTGGATGAATGCTGGGAACAGAACTCAGGTCCCTAGAAGAGCCATGGGAGCTCTTCACACTGAGCCAGTCCAGACAAGCATTTTCTAAATGTTTTTGCAAGAGAACTGTTTTTAAGTGTTTTTGCAAGAAAACTTTTTAAGAATTTGTGAAGACAAGCCAGGCCATGGTGTCGCACGCCTTTAATCCCAGGGACAGAGGCAGGTCAAGCTCTGAGTTCAAGAACAGCTCGAAAAAAAACAACAAAAGAATTTGTGAAGACATTATCAGAAACATGTTCCACTTCTTTATAATACAGTTAGTGATTAATACATTTTTTTAATGTGCACTGATGTTTTGCTTACATGTATGTCAATGTAAAAGTGTCAGATCTTGGAGTTACAGAAAGGTGTGAGCTGCCATGTGGTTTCTGGGATTTGAGCCTGGATCCTCTGAAAGAGCAGTCAGTGCCCTTAACTGCTGACCCATCTCTCCAGCCCCTGATTAATATATTTAAGCCTGCATTTGTAAACATATTCTTTAAAGATCTCCTTTCCATTTTCCCTTACAGTGGCAATTCTGAATTTCAGAGCTGATTCTCAGGGCCTTTTTAAGGATTGTGTAGATTCCAAATGTCTGGGTCACTTGGTAAAAATACATTGATGTTTCTTTTTCTGCTTAGGATGGGACTGAGGAAGACCCACAGGCAGAGCTGGCCATCATTCATGGTCAGATGGCCTACATCCTGCAGCTTCAGGGTCGAACAGAGGAGGCTCTACAGCTTTACAATCAGATAATAAAACTGAAGTGAGTTGTTACACGAGGTGTCCTTACTAGGGATGAGGCTTCTGTTACTCAGACTTCTTGGTATTAACGACTCTGTTCACAGGCCAACAGATGTGGCGCTGCTTGCTGTAATCGCAAATAACATCATCACCATTAACAAGGTATGGTCTCTGGTCTATGTGTGTTTTATACTGAGAACGTAATATTATCTCAACTTTATTCTAGGCTGTGTTCTTTCCATGACAAAAAGAAATTCAGGTGTAACAAAATCATAGTGGACAGTATTTTTAAATCATAATATTGGTGTTTCTTTCATGTTTATTCAAGTAGTAAACCTTCTTTGTAAGTATAGGCCTTGGAGTTTCCTAAATTTTTACTTTTCTGATTTATGGTAATAATGAAGACTCTCCATGTATAAGTATAATTATAAGTAGTTTGTCCCTTTAAGTACATGAATGCTTTATATTGCTTTTCTGAGTCTAAGTTTCTATATAATTTTTTTCTTGTCTCTTTTTGGGGAAGGTGGTTATGGGGACAAGGTGTGGGCAGGTACTACAGTTTGTCCTACCCACCTGTGCTTTGTAAAATGTTACAGGGATGGCTGTATGCACTTCTGACTGAAGAGTACTATGTTAAACAAATTACCATGTGCAACATAGTTTAGATGAAAAACAACAGTTCAAGTTGAGATCTGAAATCCAAGTCAGTAGAAAATAAGAGAAGTGACTATCATGCTATGTCATGCATTTTTTTCTTATTTTAAAGATTCACTGGTGGGGGGGGGGGGGAGTTGTGCATGTGAGTACAGATGCCCAGGGAGGGCAGAATTGCCCAATCACACTGGAGCTGGAGTTACAGATGGTTGTGAGTTATCTGATGTAGGTGCTAGATTTGAACACAGTTCTGAAAAAGCAGTGCAGTTATAAGTAGTTTGTACCTTTAAGTGCATGGGTGCTTTATATTCCCTTTCTGAGTCTAAATTTCTACATAATTTATTTCTTGTGTTTTGGGGGAGCAGGTGGGACAGTAATGGGGGACACGGTGACTGTCATTATAACTGAGCCATCTTCCCTGTCCTCTTGTAGAGGTTTGAAGTACTCCTTTAGTTCATTTCACAGTAATCTTTTGGGGTGGTTCTCCTTATCTTCAGTGTGCAGGAGATTGAGAAGCCATTTATATGAATCATTGCCAGGAAGAGTTAGAGCATAGATGCAGGTACCACTTTCTGACTCCAAAGGTTTCTCTGGTACTTCATTGTACCTCTGTCAAGGTAGAGTTCTCCAGGTGTGGGATAGTGGCATGACTTAGGCTTCCAAATGATGCTAACATTTGAGATTACAAGTACATGCTTTTGAAATGTTTGTCAGAATGAATACTTTTTATCAGATACAGAATTGTGGGGAAGAGAATTGTGAAATACTAAATATCTGTCTCCAGCTAAGTGTAATTTATACACTGAATTTTATTCAGTTCACTTTTTTTTTTTTTTTTTTTCTAAGACAGGGTCTCTCTATATAGCATTGGTTGCCCTGAAACTCACTGTTTAGTCTAGGCTAGCCTAAAACTCACAGAGACCTACCTATCTCTGCCTCCTGAGTGCTGGGATTAAAGCGTGTGGCATCACACCTGGCTTCACATGATTATTTTTTACTTTTTGTTTGAAATAGTATATTTTAAATCGTTATAGTTTAAAATGTCATCCTGAAAAGCCAGGCATGGTTGTACATGCCTGTAATTCCAGAGATTAGGAAGCTGGGGCAAGGAAATGAGGAGCTCAAGGCCAGCCTGGAGTATATATAGTGAAACCCTGACTCAGAGGTGGGTGGGACAACCCACTCATTCTGATATTGAAAATAATTACGTACATTGAATTTGTTGTCTTCATACTTCCTGGCTACTGTATTTGGTGCAAGGTCTCTGAACTGGTACATTTGAGCCAAATCTTGAAGGTTTAAAGACTAAGAAACAGCATATGTACATAGGAAAATTTTTTATGATTTGGGAGTAAGAGATGAGAAAACCAACACCCACCAAAAAGTGTTTGGTCAAAAAGTGTTATAACAAAGTTTAGGAAAAGTCTCACATTGGCATGCACAGAGAATTGATTTATTAGAAAGTGATCAGTACATGAGGACTAACTAGGAAACACCTCCTTTTGTCAGTCCCACTCTGTTAACCCAGGCTGCACATGAGCTCCAGTGTGCAGGGCCCCCTCTTGACAGCACCTGTCTCTTGCACTTGTTTTTAAACTGTTTTTTGGGGGGTATTTACACCTCTACCTCCCTTCCACCAACCCTTTAACTCTAGGTAAGAGAGAGGAGGTTAGTGGGGAAAGGGGTCGCAGACCCCTTCTCCCAGCTGTTTAGGGTTGATGGATTCTTTTGGGGATATACCAGTTTCCATCAGCATCAAATACAGCAGGCAGTCTCCTGTAAGCTGCTTCGTCAAAACATTTCTGTCTGTGTCCTGCAGGCCACTACACGGTCAGGCTGTGGTCTCACCAAACTGCCACTCCTTCTGTTTCTGGGCTCATGTCTGTACTCTAGCTTATATCCCTCAGACTCCTAGCCCATGCCCCTCTCCATGCTGCACGAGGCAGGCTGTTACCAGCTGGCAAAGACTGGGCTCCTCAGGAGGCAATTATGAGCTGTGGACAAACTAAAATTCCACAGTTGGAATTAAAACAAAAACATTTACATAACTGAGTTTTTAAAGAAACCAAAACTTTCATTACACCTCTCTGTCACGGACTGTGCGAGCATAACACTGCTTCTGGCTTCAAATTGCTTTGAAGCATCACATTGAAAAAAAGGTGGAATTTTTTTTTTTTACTTTTCACCTTAATTCAAAAGCATGGGTTTTGGGGAATAGCGGCTCAAATCTGTAATCCCAGTACTTGGGAGGTTTAGGCAAGAGGATCAAGAATTCAAGGTCATCCTCAGCTTCATACTGGTTCAAGGCTGGTTAAAGAGCTACCTAAGAATGTCTCAAAAAAAAAAAAAAAAAGCCTGCAAGTAAGTGGGTTGCTTCATAAAGCACTTTGAGAAATAAACTGTCTTCAGAATGCTTTAAGGTTTAGTTGTCTTGCTTTTGTTGTTTGTTTGTTTGTTTGTTTGTTTGTTTTGAGACAGGTTTTCTCTGTGTAGCCCTGGCTGTCTGGGAACTCCTATAGACCAGGCTGGCCTTGAACTCGGAGATCCTCTTGCCTGTGTCTTCTAGTGCTGGGCTTAAAGGTATGTGCTACCACTGCCTGGCCTTGCTTTGTCTTGCTTTCCTAAGAAATTGATGATACTTGATAATTTTGTTTTCTTTCATTCCCTATCTCCGTGCTGGTGTTTGAACTCAGGGCCTTCAGAGTGCTAAGTACATGGTTGCCCTGAAAAAAGTTTCATAAATAGAGCGAGACCCTGTCTGAAAAACCAAAACTAAAAACTATCAGTCAACAGTGGGAAGATAAAACAAAAATCCTGTTCTTGCCTCTAAAGAATTTCACATCAGTCTTTCCATAGCTATATGTAGACTAGGGAAAATATGTGTCATAGTATATTTTATTTATGTATATGAGCCAAAACCCAAGGCAAATGTGTATACATCTTGGTGGTTTAGGCACTCCAATCAATAGATGTATCCAAGCTTTCTTGTTACGCTATGTGAAATAAATGAATGGAAAGGGAAGGCTTTGGAGAATCAAAAAAGCCTAAGTAGGAGTTTCTGCTAATGGTGGGTGAACTTTTCTTTGTTAGGACCAAAATGTCTTTGACTCCAAGAAGAAAGTGAAATTAACCAATGCCGAAGGAGTAGAGTTTAAGCTTTCAAAGAGACAACTGCAAGCCATAGAGTTTAACAAAGCTTTGCTTGCTATGTATACAAACCAGGTAAGTAAAAAGTCTGTATTCCCTGGCTGACCATGAAGCACAGTGAGTATTTGTATGATCTCTTTATGCTTTGCTTGCATTTTGTCTTATTTCCTCCGTTAGTATTAATATTTTTTTATAATTTCATTAAATGAGTAATTTACCCCCTTCTCTAAGCATATGGAGTTAGTGGCTTTAAGAGAAAGAGTTAACCCTGGCGTTCTCATACTATTTCCCTGTTTATTTTAACTGTGCAGGTGATTGATCTCAGCCTTGTACGTGTCCAGCTCTTCTATTACCTTCATTGCTAATCTTCCTAAATTAAAATAGAATCATAGAAGACACCAATCAGATCTAAGATACAGCTTCAGTTTTACTTGACCTATTACAAATTATAACTGTGAAGAGGTTCAATTATTTTTTAAGCATTTGTTATTTATATTTTTACATTTAGTATTATTTTATGAGGGGCTGGAGCAATGGCTCAGTGGTTAAGAGCACTGTTTGCTCTTCCAGAGTTCAATTCCCAGTAACCACATGGTGGCTCACAGCTGTCTATATTAGAACCTGATGCCCTCTTCTGCATGCAGGTCTACATTGAGGACTCACATAAAATAAACAAGTAAATATTTAAAAAAATATAAAAGCAGTATTATTTTATTTGTTTTGTCTGCAAGTATGTCTGGCGCCACATGTGTGCCTGGTGTTGGATCCCCTAAGAACCCAGGCACTCTGGAAGAGCAACTAGTGCTCTTAACTGCTGAGTCATCTCTCCAGCCCCAAGGTGTTCAGTTCTTTACCTGTATCCTAGTTAAGTTCTGAATTCATAGAGCAGAAGATTTTAGTCCACAAATGAGAAGCAGTAATGTTTTTATTATTTAGAGTTGAGTAAATATTTCTTGATGTTTCAGCAAGAAGTGTATTTCCATGCTTTTCTGTTTGCTGTGTTGCTTTAAGGAAGAAATTCTAAACTCAGTTTATCTGGAGTTTAGGTATTCATATGATCATTTAGAACTTGCCTTTTGCTTACTGCTTTTAAAGCTTTGTTAAATTCAGTAAATACAAATCGTGTTTTAATAAAATAAGAGATGGATTATTATAAACTGATTTGCTTAACCCTAAACATTTTTTCACCTACTATTCTACAAGCTGATTACCCCATCCCTTTATTTTGGGTTATTTAATGTTTAATTTTATTACTACACTTACTAACAAAGGTGGGGACATCTTCTAGGCAGAACAATGCCGAAAAATATCTGCCAGCTTGCAGTCCCAGAGTCCTGAGCGTCTCCTGCCTGTGTTAATCCAAGCTGCCCAGCTCTGTCGTGAAAAGCAACATGCAAAGGCAATAGAGCTGCTTCAGGTATTTAACTTGAACTTGAACAGACATTGAACTTGATTGCTTAATAGGTGTCAGGTGGTTGAAGCTGTTTCATTACACTATAACGTACTATAACAACCTACAAACTAATAGGTAATGCACCACTTAGTTACAGTGTCGCTTTAGTTGACTTTTTAAGTTGGAAATTTCTTTGTATGTTGTTTTATGTAAATTTGTGTAAATTCTGAAGAATGATTTTTCATTTGGAAATGTATTCAGCGTGAATTAGGGGTTGAGCTTTAGGCTTGCAATACCAACCCATGCTTCACCCCCATTTCAGTGATACATTAATACCTCAGTGAGCTGTACTCCATATCATCAGGTAAGGAGATACTGACTTAATATTTAGCACCCCAAGCCAGTTATCATATTACATGTTATATATTACATGAGTTTCTTGAGTATAGATAGTTGGAAAAATGGACACCATAAAATTAGGGCCGTTCTGAGTTGTCTAACAGAGACCCCCCAGTGAAGAAGTAGTCCTTGAGTGTCTCTTTCAAACAAAAGACAAGAAGCATCTTCATTTTTTGTGTTAGTGACTTTCTGGGAACTTGATATCATTGTACTACTTGTAGAGCTCACTATAAAGAATGAGTGTTGAATTAAATTTTCAAGATAAGATTTTGACCAGAGCCAGCTGTGGTGGTACACACCTTTAATCTCAACATTCAGGAGGCAGAGGCAGGTGAATCTATGAATTCAAGGCCAGCCTGGTCTAAAGTTTCAGGACAGCCAGTGCTACACAGAGAAACCCTGTTTCGAAAGAAAGAGAGAGAGATTTTTTGACCTGAAACCAGAAGTTTAATACTTTAACCTGAACATTAAAATCTTATATATATGATAAAGTAAGTGTAATGTCTTACAGTTGTATAAACTAAATTTGTGTTTTTAATCCACAACTAAAAATATTTTAGGAATTTTCTGATCAACATCCAGAAAATGCAGCTGAAATCAAGCTTACTATGGCACAGTTGAAAATTTCCCAAGGTATTAACTTTAAGTTCTTCGTTCAATGGTGAAGTTCAACTGTTGTTTCAAACACGCTAGCCTGTGATTGAGTAGGGGGTAGCTGGCCCTTTACTTGGTTTGTTCCTGTGTTGTTAGAATGACTCTTAAGCCTTCGAGGTCCATTTAGGCATGAGGTGCCTTTGTTGCAGAGCAGATATTCCATATAGAGATGCCTGTGTCTACGAATATGCGAGTAAGAAAGTACTAGCCAGGAGCAGTTTTCAACACCTGTAACCCCAGCACTCAGGGAGGCAGAGGCAGGCAGATCTTTGTGAGTTCGAAGCCAGCCTGGTCTACATATGAGTCCAGGACAGCTAAGACTACACAGAAAAACTGTGTCTCAAAAAAAACCCCAAAGAAAAGAAAAAAGGAGGTACTTTGCAGTCTTTTTTAGCTTATTCCTTTATATATGTATGTATACTTTTTACAGAAATTTATGAGATCTGATATTTTTGATACTCAGCAGAAAACTACATGTTTTCTTTTGTCTTTTGTTAAGCTTGGCTATCTAGAATTGAGTTTTCTGGTGTGGTAGCTGCTGTCTTCATGTGTCTATTTGAATTTTAAACTGACCAGAATTAAATGAAATTTACAGCTAGTCATAGAACTCATGGCTATACCCCTTGCCCTCTGAAGGCTGATGCAGGAGGACCGTGAGTTCACAGCTAATCCAGACTACTGAGTCAGACCTGTCGCAGAAGCAGCATTTCAAGTTCGGCTTCTCTGCTGTAGTCAATGCACACGGCTAGCATGGCTATGTAGGACAGCACGGATGAATGGACCTTGATGTAATAGAAATACATATCTGACAGCTCAAGTTCTCAGTTGACAGTCCCAGATGGTCCAAAAAACTTTAGCTAGCCACAGTGCTTAGGTGAAAATTTCATGGGTTGGGGAAGAAGAGTTGACATTTAGGAAAAACTGTAATAAAAGAAAAACAAAGGCTCAATAGCAAAACACGGTTGAGAATTGGTTGAGGTTTAAAGGCGAAAGCTTTGGGTTATTAAAGTTTGCAGTGAGCATAAAATTAGAGTTCTAATACCGCCAGTTTTTCATCACACTCTAGTCTATATTAACATATTTCAAGGCCTTTTGAAAAGGACCCCCACCTCCTTCAGGTTGCTGTCTGAAAAAGAAGATATGTCTCCCAACAGCCTGGAGTTGCAAGTTCAACTTTGCCAATAGTGACTTTGTGAGCTTTAGGAAAACACTGTCTTCAAGCTCAAAGACCACTAGTGCAGGGCCTAAGAGCTCCTGTTGTGCTGCGTGAGGAGTTGAGTTTGAATGCCTGGCAGATCCCAGGAGGTTGCTGGCTGTGCAGGCTACCCAGGACAGAAAGCTTCAGTCTCAGTGGGATGCTTGTCGCAACAGTAAGAAGAACGGGCTAAGGGGAAGACAACTGATGTCCTCTTCATGTTCATGAACACAGTCACATGCCCCACACAGTCAGCATAGAAAAAAAAAAA